ATGTCTTCCTGTCTGCACCCTTTCACCGATAAGGAATGTATAAAGGCATCCTGAAGCTTCGCAAGGCGGAACAGGACATGACGGAGAAAGTTCGAGAGCCACGTGGCCTCTTTCGCCAAGTCGTACAGACTGGTAGTTTAGGCCTTCTGGGGCAGGACACGATGGGGATCCCAGCAAGGGGGTCTCTAACATGGCGGGTGTGGGAAACATGGCTGCGATAATGTTTGGTAGCTGGAGGTAGGAAAGGTCGTACTGTTCCGAGCAGAATGTTTCAGTTGCTGACTTCCTGGTTTTTCCTGTTTTAGATGTCCCCCCCAACTGTATCCTCTGTACTTTTTTCCAATTATGCAAAAAAAACGAGCAAAGCGGTAGAACTTTGGGAGACTCAGTTACGTAGTTGGAAGTGTGGAGGGTGAAAGAAAGTGGGTCGTATCTAGGGAGGAAATTTGGGAGTCTTGTCTTGCAAAAATTTTCCTCAATGACAGGTCGTGCTCAGACTCAGAGAATTCTTTGATTCCGATATAACCGAATCGCGACATAAGAGAGCCTACCTGAATTCCATTAGCTTGTCCCCAAGTGAGAAGAGCCGCCTTCTTCTTAGTAATTGTGTCGTTCATATTCTTGATCAGGTTGAAAAATTCCCGACGAGGCTGTTCACCAAGGCTAGCAAGGAATGGTGGTGGGGGAAAATTTTCCCAGAAGCCACCTGGAGCTCCAGGACCCCCTGGAGGGGGCGGGCCACCGTGGGATTCCTCCGGAGTTAGGGCGACATAGCACCACGCTGACGATCGCTAAAACCACAGCGGCGGATTCTCATTCTGAATAATAACTCAGAAGCACTGATGATTGAGTACATCCTGTTGAAAGCAATCATCCTTCATTTTCCATGAAAACGACACCAAATTTGAACAGAGTAACGCACAGTACCATAATCATGATGTTTATTTCACTTGTGAGTGAGTAAATGAATGGATGGAATGAGGGATAGATTGAGTCTTTGGGTAATTCCTTTTATATCATCCGAATTTGGTGGGGATGTATGGTGCGTCCGCCCCTTTGTTTTCACTTCTTCTTCATGGGAATGGATCCTAATTTGACACAGCCATATTACGGTATATACAGTGGTCGTACGGCGAGCAATCGTTGACGGGGTCGTATTCACACGATGAAAAAAGGATTTTTGTCAATGGAGTTTTTTCCCTTTCAGCTTCCGTCGCATTGCGACGTCACTAGTATACTCGGTAGGAAAGTGTGCTAACTCTTGTGTGTCTTACGAGTTTGAAACTTCGAAAAACTGCCCTATGAGGATGGAAATTTCGTTAAAGTGGCCCAACGTTTCAACAGAATCGTCGACTTCAACTTTTGTTTCTTCCACTTTTTGTCGGGGAAACCATTTTCCCGTTCCGGTGTTGGTGAGAACGCAAAAATAATGCTTTGGCTTTGATTCTCTTCTGGCCCAAACTCTTATCATCCTTCGAATGCACAGCTGTCGAAGAACCTTCTTAATATGTCATGGAGAGGGGGGGGGGCATTAACGAGAATGGCGCAGTGGCTGGTTGTCTACGTCCATGTAACCGTATTGGATGTAATTTTGAGTTGGTACTCCGCTTCCTTGAGAAAGAGGTGTCAGCGTCCATATCCGCTCGTTTTTTTCATTTAATATCGCCCGATCATCTTGTTACTTGGACCAAACGTGCCAAGTGTCAAAGGTCAGTCCAGTTTATCTTATTATCTTACTAATGCCAATTTCAGGAAACTTTCTGCTGCAAAATCACTTATACATTGGTAATACCTTACGTAAACCATCTAGATCTGGTCCAGAATAATGCAAAACATATGAACATCATTAAAAGACTTATACCTCCCCACGGTAATCCCTCGATTAATATGGATTATGGCGTATGTGCCACAACATTTTAACTATTAGCGACTGGTGCAGATCAGTCTGCGTAGTTACCTAGCCAGAGAGCTCAATATGAGACCATTGGAGTTTCGTGACGCAACTATGTAGCGAAAGGTCTCAGAAGAAGGCCCACAGAACTGCTGTGAAAGTAAGTAGGAACCGTCCTTGGATGCAGTTAGAGCCCATTACCCTGTGGGAACTTTATGGTAAACATGACCAATCCGAATTGTTTTCCCTTAATACGACCCGCTTTACACAGGCATTCTACACTCTTACCAATCTTCACCAGAATTCCACCGTCGAGCGGGGAGGGAGGAGTAGTGGGCCCGACGGAAACGATAAAAATCAACAAGCAAAATCTATATACTAATTCCTACAGAGCTTGCCAAACAAGACAATTCAGTTTGCCGAACAAGTCCTCTACCCCCTATGTTTTACACAACGATGGTCTTCCCTGTGTGAAATTGTAATGTCATTACCTAGTTCAGTTTATAGTTAGCGAGCTTGAGAAGGTCCTTGTTGAGGTCCCGGCTGGGGTCAAGCGTTTTGTCCAAAACTTCGCACCTTTGCGATACCAAGTGTCCAGACTCCAGTGCAAGGATCAGCGGAAAGGTGACTTATATGAGAATTAGGTACATACAGTCTCGCTCGCTGTGGATAAAGGGGCGTGTCAGTGAGGCTGGGTTTGGCTCGCTGCCAGCCCATTCA